ATAATAATAATAATAATAACAAAAATATTCCTCTTACCATCTATTTCACATGTTAATCTTTTAATGTGCTTCATCACTAAATCCTGTAGCTAGACTTCAAGTAAGCATTCAAGCGTCGCTCCTCATTTCACTCATGCCTCCATCTTGGTCGAGACAGAGAACGGAAATGAGGAACATGCCAGAGCTCGCATAATTGTTACGTCACGAGAGTTATTATGCCTTCACGTAACTCGTGAGCTGAAATATTGAGTTTTTGCCCCCGCGTTCACGGAACGGATATGTAAGGTGCGGTCGTGGGACGCTCCCCTCACTGAAATAGATGGCTACCCGCGGGGTGTTGATGTGAGGGTTACATCAATGGATACCTTGAGGTTTATTGAGACTGAAAGAGACTAGAAGAACCGGAAGAAAATGAATTGAAACTGCAAAAAAAACTGAATTGGAAATACTGAACTGCAAATTAAAGAATCTGAATTTTTGAATGTAAGAAACATTATTGAATTGAAATTAAGATAAACTTAAGAAACTGAATTGAAACCTAAAATAATGAAAGTAATTGAAATTAAAATAAAGTGAATTGAAAATGGAAGAAACTGAATTGAAACCGAGCGAAACTGAAAGCAATTGAATTGAGACTGAAAGAAACTGAAAGAAACCGAATTTAAACTGAAAGAACTGAATTGAATTTAAACTAAAAGAAGATGACAGGTGAATAAGAAGGCGGACTCGTAAAGGCTTGAATAAATGGGAAGGAAATTGCTCAGGTTTATTAATAAGCTCACTGATGTGAGTTTTCTTGTTGTTACGTATACTTGGTGTTGTTATATATACTTGGTGTTGTTATAGATACTTGGCGTTATTATAGATATTTGGTGTTGTTATAGATATTTGGTGTTGTTATAGATATCGTCAAGCCCGAGGCTTCAATAACTAAACGGGAGCTTGAATGTACGAAAGTATAGGCATACGTGAACAGGTCGACCCTAAACTGGCCCTAAATGGAGAGAGAGACCACATGAATTATCACTACCAGACACATGATCTCGTATTGTGCTGCTACGATCAAACATCTATACATTAGCTTCTATAGTTCAAATTTCAAGGTTGAATATATTGAAGTGTATTCACTTAGTCTAAGGTTTGATAAACTAAAAGAGCGAATGAAACCGCGGCCGGTCAGTCTGACTTCGGCCGAACAAGTGCAGGCGTAGGCGCGATCAGCAGACGTCGGTTACGCCGCTGCCCGTGGTCACGTCTAGGGCACAATTTATCACGGGTCGAATATCGTTTCAGACAAGTCATGAAGAAATAATTTTTATTTCATTGTTTTCGTGTCATTTGCGATGCAATAGCCCCATATCTATGCCATTTTTTAAAATTTCATTACATCATTAAAAAATATATAACATATCTCTCAGGGGAAACATACGTCACCAGAAGCCAATAATTTACCGTATATGCGTGTCAATACTAAGGAACATCAGGCACATAGCTGAAATATTACATGGTACATTCTGTTATCAGGATTGGTATAAATTGAGAACAAATAAACAATAAGGTTGCGAAAAAAGTACTGTAGTCACCGAATAAAAATTATACTGTCATTTTCATTTATGTTATTTTTCTCTGACCATCACTGTCCATGGCTGATTCCTGTATTTTCATTGTAGTTTGAAAGCGTCGCTTTATTTTCCATCATTAGAATGAGCATTGTAGAAAATATGTGGAAATATGGAGTTGAAATTTAAATATATTTTCCAGGTATATATATCCGAATTATATATCGACTCTATACCACACGTGGAAGCATTTCATGGAATAATAATCAAAATTTTATTCATTTTATCATTAAAAAATTATCGATTAATCCGAAAAAGTAGGCATACATCATATTTTTTCTCATAAATGTTGTACAATACAATCTCATGACGGTTGTTCACCATCAGTGACAGACAATAAGTACAGTGAAGTGCCTGGTGTTCCCTCTCAGTGACACACAATAAAATGTATCAAATAAATTCATTATAGACTTGGAGGAGAAACCAAAGATATCAAACATGACCTTGCTGCATAAGAACAGCATATAAAAAATAACAGCACTGTAGGTTACCATTGCTTTTGTCTATATCAGTTAAAGATGACAAACCGGAGCAATATTGTCACAAGCCTACATCCATAAAAGAATATGTTGCTAGCACAAAATAACTTAGACTGATGGTTGCTGCTGTGTACAACTTTAAAGATGTTCTCTGTAGCGGACAACCATCCTAAGTTCTCTGTAGTCAATAGCTTGTGTATAATTTAAATTAAAAGTCATATTACCGGAGAGTGACATACAGTGGTACAAGGATAATTATAGACACTAGTTCGTTCCGATGGCACGGTCGATGCAGGAATCCACAATAGCGCAGCTGAACTGAAGATCCTGTAACACCGTGGCAGGATTAGCTGCTGGTCAACACTTTGCCAAGATATAAAGCCTCTATCGTATGTCTGTCGTCGCGCTGAGCGAGCCACAGTGTACACTAAGTTGTTTGAAATTCCCCATAGAAAAATAAATAGATTGCTAGAATCGACAGCACGACGTTCTCGTGAAGGTGTGAGTTTCTGAAGAACATTATCATTCCCAACGTATGGATTGTTAAGTTTTAATTCCTGTAACTCCTTATCCGTTCTTTCATGCCCATCATTGTTCATTGGAATTTATTTATTTGCCACTGATTGCTTATCTCATTCCTCCATCCGTGTACATATTTGCGCAACTGTTGTTGTGTGGCTTCATCATTCGGTCCCTCGCTGTATTATTGCGCTCACTCGCTCTTTTATCCATCCAAGCATCAATTTATTTATTTCGCATATCTCCCGCCGGTCTACCAGATATCCATCTAGTCTCAAAAATCATTCCAAATTTCGTCAATTATTCAGCCCGCAGTCCATCCATACGTCAAGTCATTCATCGAAGCATGTTATCAACAACCACTAATATATCATAATTAATAATTATAATCAGTAAATAATTATAATGATTAATAATTATTATAATGTATCAAAATACAGAATATTACATTATTTATCACGTGCACCTAGTTTCCTTCTTGCTACATTCGTGTACCCATGCTATGTTGTAGCATCCATGCCGTGTATCCACACCATCACGCAACATCAATGGTTGCATACAACATGCATGCTTGCATACAACATGCATGCTGCTCGCATGCAACATCCTACACACGCGGATCCACAACATAATTGGTAGCAGTCGATACATGATCGAGTCGAGCCCGACGTTTAGCGGCAACAAACAAGTTCTGTAGTGCGGCACAAAGCTTCCTTCAGGCCAGCCTTCTCAGTTGCTGCTCCGACGTCGCGTCATTTCCGCTCACTGCAATCCGCTTCTGGTCGTCGTGAAGCTCGGCAAACCCGTAGTAAATTCGCTGCTACGGGGAAATGAGGCGGTGTGTTTGATGTGTGGAATGATTCGAAACGCCAGGCTCACATAATGACGATAATATGTCCTCTCGACGATACGGATGACACGTAAAATAAATATAACGTGTCCTCTAGACGATACAGATGACACGTAAAATAAATATAACGTGTCCTCTAGACGATACAGATGACACGTAAAATAACGATAAAACGTCCTATTGACGATACACGAGACTAGGACACGTACGCCGATGGTTGGTCGTGCGTAACATGGTAGTGTGTATATATATGGTCACCTGACTGTCGCAGATAGGCGGAGCCTTGACAACAATTGAAAGTTTCACCAAGAAATGAAATAGGAACACGTAATTTAAAACTGATAGTTCCATTTATTTTGCTGGTTTTGGACATTTTTTATCAAAATCAAGAAAATAATCTATGGTTTAATCTTTTTACGAATATAAGAAAATTGAGACATAATATTTCAAAATTATAAAGCTTAAGAGATTAATTTAGTGACTTAAATACTACATTTTGCGCAGTTGATGAATTCAGATTACGAATTTATTACATGACGGTTTACGGTTGTGACGAAAGGATCCTTGAGCTAAATAATGATTGTGTTTGTAACAGTCAAATGCACGCGAAATGAAAAGAAAGCGAATTATAGGATTTAAAGACCGAAGGATTTCCGAACTGAACGGGTTAGTTAGACTAACGGATTTCCGAACTGAAGGATGCCAATAAGTCCGCGGGACTTCGGAACTGAAGGATTTCTAGGGCAGCTGTTTGGTCAGTGGGTATAAATATTTGCCCTTTTAAAATATTATTATCTGCGGAGAGCGATGTAAAATTTTTTAAATTCGTACGTTAAAAAGTTATTTTTTCAAGTACTCTGCCCTTGGCTAAGTCGAAGCGTTCAAAATCTGGAACAATAAATGGGGTCAAGAATATATTTCTCGTAAATTGGCGAAGGCAACAATGACTCTTTTTTTTTGTGAAAACTTCTGTTCGAATTAGGTTAAGAAAAAATCCAAAATATTTTCTCAGTTTTCTTAAAAAAAATTCTCTCACTCAGAACTATTTTTATATAATTACAATGATTGGTAAGTCTGCCGTCGGATGGGCTAGACATCTCTTCTTTATCGTCCATAGCCAAAAAATAAGTTTGAGGACCGAAGCATATATTAATACAGATTTGATGACATAAATTTCAAATACATTCATTATAAGTAGTTACTTATTAAATAATAATGAACATCATTTGGTCTGAGAACAGAAAAATATTCACGGAGACCTTAAAAAAAATTCTTCATTGAAATCTTACAAAATCTTGAAAAGCTGAAATCCTAAAATGAATATTATATTCAGATGAATGTCAGATAGATTTTTACATGGATTTTAACTATACCTCCAACTCATTTATTAAGTTATCTTTAACTCCTTCATTGAGTTTTCTTGAAATTCTATCCCTGATAAATGTGCAATTTATTACTTCAAAATATGAATTTCATTCCATCGTTAATGTTAAACGAATTTTACTTGATTAAGTTCCTTAAAAGATTCTAATCATAAATTAAATATGAGGTCTGTTCTCCATTTTGGTTCACACGTTTCACCCTTTCACCAACATTCAAAATAAAGTGATGAAGTTTTGCGTCTATGGAAAGGGAAACGTATGGGGCGCAGGTACTTAATCTATAGGCTCGAATTTATAAAAAATCATTCAGTAGCTTTTACCCATCAGACATCTGATGTTGAAATAACATTAATTTAACGCTGTTTCAACGAAATCAACTCGTAGTCAACGTTTTTTCGACATCATTTGCTTGTAGTGTAGCACGTTAACATGGCAGCGCGGTGGGAACATCTCGTCTAGAGGCCCAAGGTCTTCAGGACAGAGATGTCGATGTCTCCGTAATAATCCTCACTGTAACGTAAAATATCGATAAGAATTAAGGGGAAATATATACATGAGTATATATATAAACATACAAATATACATGAGTAAATATATATATGAGTCCAAACACACGAAAAACGTTGAGCAAATAGTCACAAATATTGACATTCGATTTCAAAATGACGTGCAATTACAGCTTTGCTAAATAAAAGTTAATTTCTGATGGTCTCCTAAAAAAAGTATCAAAATATTCTTTTGGCTGTTATTATGATTCACTTATTAAAGAAATGATAATTGAAGCAAAATGTGATAGCCCTCACAATCAACGACAAGCGTTTAAATTACACCCCCACATATATACAGTGAAATGCAAAACACATTATATTATATTATTTTATATTATGTTATATTATATTATATTATTATCATATTACATTATATCACATCATATTTCACACCAAGTTTGCACTCACCAGCCCGGTACCGTCTTCGGGTCCTGACACTGCCCCTCGCCCTCAGCCTGGCCGATGGCGAAGACCGTGCCGATGGGGCAGCCGTACTCGCGCGGCACGCCGTCGAAGCAGGCGTAGTAGAGGCGGCAGTCGTCGGGGTGCGCGTGGCGCGTGAACGAACCTACGGCCGAGAGTCTGCCAGCTTCTGGGCACTGGATGCCCGTTAGCGCCAGGGCATCAGCTGGAGTGGGAAGGAACGTGTTATTCGTGGTGAATATAAATGTTGTTTTGAGGAAAATTTTGAATTTTTTGTACGAGAAGTTCTCGTTTAAAAACCTTCGTCTTGATTTTAGCTCCTGTTCCTCGCTTCCTATTTACTAAAATTTTTCCAATTTGGCGTAAGGTAAGCACTATTCATCATCACATTCACTTTAACAGCAATCAAAACTCATCACCAATCACAGTGAACAGAATTTAATTGCTCAACTAACTCAACAGAATTCAACATCTAAACTAACTCACCAGAATTCAACAGCTAAACTAACTCACCATAATTTAACAGCTCAACTAACTCTCCAGAATTCAACAGCTCAACTAACTCAACAGAATTTAACAACTCAACTAACTCTCCAGAATTCAACAGCTCAACTAACTCAACAAAATTCAACAACTCAACTAACTCACCAGAATTCAACAGCTCAACTAACTCACCAGAATTCAACAGCTCAACTAACTCTCCAGAATTCAACAGCTCAACTAACTCAACAGAATTCAACAACTCAACTAACTCAACAGAATTCAACAGCTCAACAGAATTCAACAGCTCAACTAACTCTCCAGAATTCAACAGCTCAACTAACTCAACAGAGTTCAACAACTCAACTAACTCAACAGAATTCAACAGCTCAACTAACTCTCCAGAATTCAACAGCTCAACTAACTCAACAGAATTCAACAACTCAACTAACTCAACAGAATTCAACAGCTCAACTAACTCAACAGAATTCAACAGCTCCCCAGAATTCAACAGCTCCCCAGAATTTAACAGCTCAACTAACTCACAAGAATTCAACAGCTCACCAGAATTCAACTAACTCACCAGAATTTAACAGTTCAACAAACTGACCTCGCTGCTGCTTGCACTCAGGGACCTGGTCCATCCAGGAGCAGGTGCGGCTGCGTCTGTCGTAGGCGAGGCCAGGGCCGCACTGGTAGCGGGTGCCCTCGCCAGCCCAGCACGAGTGGAAGACTTCGCACTCGCTGTCGTCGGGGAAGATGCCGTGCAGAGCCTTGCAGTTGCCTACGACGATAGGCGGCTCTGTGGGACAGGCGAGTCGTCTGATATTGCTCGTGGTAGATAAGGTTTATCAATAAACATTGGGTGCATGAAGACAAAATTTTTTTAATTTGTTGAGAATTTTATGATTTGCTAAAAAGCGTCAACTTCAGAGCCTTGCATTTACACACGACGATAGGCGGCTCTGTGGGACAGGCGAGTCGTCTGATGTTGCTCGTGGTAGATAAGGTTTATCAGTATATATTGGGTGCGTGAAGACAATAATTTTTAAATTTGTTGAGAATTTTTTGATTAGCTCAAAAGCATCAACTGCAGAGCTTTGCATTTACACAAGGCGATCGTCGGCTCTGTGGGGCAGGCGAGTCGTCTGATGTTGTTCACGGGAAGATAAAGATAAGGTTTATCAACGTTAACTGGGTACGTGAAGAAAAGAATGTTTAAATTTGTAAAGAATTTTACAATCAGGTCTATGTGTCAAAATAAAAGTGTTTTTACATATTGAGATAATAATAATTTTTCTATTAGAGTTCACCGCTGTACTCCACAGCGGTATAAAAGGAAAATCTCATCCTGACACGAAGCGTCTGAATTTAAAATATTTAATGTAAAAACAGTTATTAAGATCACGGGTACTAAATATTGTGAATTTTTTTTAATATTTTCTGAGACTGACTTCTTATTCGAGCTCCGAATCTGATGTATATCCAAATATGACAAAACAAAATCTAGTGTCGGTATGTGCCACATTTTCCAGTACGACAGAGAAGGTAATTTGCCATCAACGTAGAATGCAAAACGCTTAGGAATCCCTGACAGAAAACTGTGGTCTGGAAATGGAACATAAAAATTTTGAAGCCAAAAAATGTGTTTGATGATGAATATTGTACCACTTACGTAAAATTGAATGATTATTTACCTAAGAAATTCATGCTCATTCCTCAAAACTAAAAACACGAAGCTACAAACAAAGCAATCCTGAGATGGGGTTTCAAAACATGTCTTAAATATTTTTTATAGATTCTTCAATTAATGCGAGACGAAACAAATTTAATGTTGTCAAGCGTTAATTACGGACCAGAAAATTAAAGTGCAATTACTTACTTTTCTGCAAGCGCTCTAGAGAAAAAACATTTTCAAATTTATTGTCAAATAATACAGTAATGTAATCATTCCTTCATTAGCATGTGAAGTCTCCGTGATATTTACTGATGATCATGGAAGAAACATCGGACGCTGGACAGTCATTTATCATTCACATTTATTCGTTCATTACTCACGTACTTGTGAATTCACATGCACGAGAATCATTATTAGATACAAAAATATTTTTCAATCCAAACGTAAAATATTACACCAGAAATGACATCAGCACAGCCAAAGTTTTGAACACGATCTTTACCAAAATTGGAATTACACGCATTCCAATTATTGGGAAATTAGTTCAGAACTCGATAAGTCAAGCGTAGCTGTATTTAGCGAGGACGTAACACTCATTTAATTGAGCGAAATGACATTAAATATCTATTTATCATGTTAAAATTCCTTCATTACCATTAAAAACTGGTGCAAATTCATTCAATTTATAGAATTATTTTTAATTCACTTTTAAAGTTTAGTAAATTTAGTATAATTATTTATATTTCCGTGTTACTGTAGAAAATGATCGGTGGCTACCTATAATATATACCACCCATAATTTTCAACAATACGAAAACCTGTAGCTTGAACAGTCGGATTTATGCTTCTATAATTTTATGATTCTGCTTTTTAAGCTAATTATTTTAGATCGATTAATTAGCTACGCGAGTATCGGCCATGAAACTGTGCTTGAATCTGAAGCGTGGGACGGACGACGAAGCCGTTGTTCGAAGCGGGCATTTGAAGCAATTTAGTGAAGTGCAGAACTCGGTGTAGAAATTGCAGTTTATTCGTCTATGAAATGATAATTTCGATCTAGGTGAGCTAAAAACTAATGAATATAATTTAAAAGTCGCAACGCACAGAAAGTACTGAATAAAAATAAGGAATTTGAGTATGATCATTTTTGAGTTGATCATTTTGAGAATGTTTTTGACTGCAATTACGGCCAGTTCTGGACTGCACACATGCTGCGCAGCTTCATTCCAGTCCTAAAGCGAGTTCAGGTCCGTCAACTGTTGTTACTGAAGCGATGCTCTCTAACAAGATTGCATGGCAGGCAAGTCAACATAGTAATACCGAGCTGGACGCGTTCACCGCAGTCCACTGCGAAGACGTAGTTGCAATGTTCTCGGTTGACGTTGTTGTGACTTGTGTCAAAAGCCAGTCCGTTTCCGCAGAGCCTCAGCTGTGGTATCCAGTTAAGACATTTCCAATACGCATCACATTGCTCCGGATGCGGGAAAAATCCATCCGCTTGTGGGCATTGAAACTCTTCTGGCTGATGGTGTTTTCTAATTAAACTTTCAGAACGAAGCCTTTGCTTGCCTTTGGAATCGGAAGAAATATTGCGCTTGTCTTCAGTTTTGTCACTGGCAATCCCAGCCGAAAAATTGGTGTTGATTTCTGTTCATAATTTATTGATCATTGATCTTGGAGGAAGTGTTAATAATATTTGTTGAAATGACATGAGAATTTATAATTGTAGATTTTTCGCATTACATGTGAATTTAATTATTTATTATCGTATTAATACTGCATTGAATCGATATCATTAACACTGAAAACCTACAGTTTTGTGAATATCTTTATTTTATTTACGATATTAGTGGCTTGTACGTTGCAAAGTAATTCAGCTTTGGCCTTTTGCGAATAAAATAAGAAAAATTTACTAACAGAAAATAACACAGTGAGTTACGTTTTGCAACGCGGGTTATTCCTACGGATAATTTGCATACATTATTCACAGTGAATGTTCACTATAGTGTACATGCAAAAGTCCCTGTTCAAGTCCCTGTTCAAAAATCCCTGTTCAATTCAAAGCTGTTCAATTTTTCATGCCAACAGTGCAGGTATCCGAAGTCTTCTTTTAGGAAAAGAAGTGGAAAAAGTAACAATTACAGTATTCTACATCATAATGAAGCATTAACGCACCAATTTTCCTATATACTTGTTGAGTATTCCAATACTTTCGAATGATGTATTAGCTAACAATTAAGTTTGTCTTTTGTTTGAATGAATATCATACGAGTCTGACATTATAAGGAAGTATTAGTATTCATTTAAAGTTCTTAATTCAGATCAAATATACCAACACGTCAAAATGAAGAATAAACTTTCAAATCGCCACTTATCTTAATTTTAATTCAATACTCCTCGATATTAAAGTAAAGTATGAACTCACGGAGCTCGGTTCTTTTTCCACACTTGACGTTATGCAGGTAATCGCAATTTTCCTTGAGGTTCTCAGGGTCGGTGTCGTCAAAAGCCAGGCCGTTACCGCAAGTCTTGAGCGTAGCGACTCCTAAGTCACAAGCCCAGTACTTGTCGCATGCGATGTCGTGCGCGTAGAACCCGTAGTCGTGGGGGCACGCGAACTGCTGGGCGCCTGAAACAGAAATGAGATTAACCATCTGTGCAAAGAATAATACATACATAATTTGTGTAAGAAAATTTAATTCTCGTTAAGCTGCATAATTATTCAAGATGCTAGCATTAGATCTTGCCTATATCCAGAGCTGGGCAGCGCTACTTTGAAATGTAGCGGCCGCTACCGCTACATGCTCTAAATGTAGCGGGTGCTACCGCTACCGCTACAATTGCTTAAATGTAGCGCCGCTACCACTACTGAAAATGTAGCAGCCGCTACATGAAGCGTGCTACTGCCCACCTCTGGTAACAACTAACATGTTGACACTAGTAACAGGCTGAGGTTGACAACATTACACCGGAATCTTTCGTACAGTTTTATTCTGTAATTTATATTATCTATGTATCATGCTGGTTTTTAAATAACATTTAATAGTATTCAGTAAAATCTAAAGGCTTCATCTATAGATGAAGCGGTAGCGCTGTAGCGGCAAAACATCGTATCGCTACTTAAATATGTAGCGGGCGTTACCGCCACCGCTACAATTGCTTAAATGTAGCGCCGCTACCGCTACCGCTACTGAAAATGTAGCGACCGCTACATGTAGCGCGCTACTGCCCGCCTCTGCCTATATCGTAGCCTCGCAGTCACAGTTAAACCTACGCAGCTCGATAAGTATTAAACGGAGAGGCGGGACCGACCTTAGAGTGGATCTTAATCTGACAATTAAGGAAACAAGGAAGGTGATGAAAATGTGGATCTTTTGCGAGAAGCATTGTTCAGCATGAGCATAAATAAAAAGGAAGATAGATACAAAGTATGGTCTCGGCATTGCAAATAGGAAAGAATGAGGAGGCTGGTGTGGATTCCTGAAAGTTTTGAGTTTAATGAGGACAATGTTAAAATGTCATCAAATGCCATCTTTGTGAGCTGTTATAAATTGATTTAAGATTTCATAATTTGATTCACTGTACAACAGATATAATGAATGGTTATGGAAGACTTTGTAGTTTGACTCTTTTTGTCGCCTTGCGGTATAATTCACGAGAGACAAATTAACACTTAGCATTTCCATTGTTAGATTATAACATATTAATTTTCTCAGGCACCTCTCAACTGTATGAACATTGAGACGAGAGCCAAATTCTGAATTAAGTGAACCATCATGAGCAAGCGATAGCCAGAATTTTTTTTAATATAATCAGCCGCTCTGTGAATACTTGGATTGCATCTTTAAATCCAAAACGTTCGGCGATAAATATTAGCACTCACTGCATTTCTTTTAAGAATTAAAGATTGGAAACTTGAGCCAACTTTAATTCTAGAAAGTATTGTGCAAGACCTGCGTCAATGACTGCGCTGCCACGCCAATGTCATCGTTCGTGACAAGAACTTTCCTCCTAGTGGAGGGATCTTGGAGTTCATCGACTCCATGCGCAATTGTTCCTTCAATGGGAAACTAGAAAGTCTTCTGGTTACGAATATCGATAATTAAACTGAGGTATGCACACAAATTTCAATGAAGGAATAAAATAAATAAACGTGTGTGAAATAATGCAAAAAGTAATTTGATGAGTGAACTGAGTATTGAGATTCAAATAAGTCATTGACTAATTTGGTTTATGTTTTATAATTTTTAAAATTGAATTTTAAAATTCATATCGAACATTTAGACAACACTCGACCGGAACGAATATTTCGTTACGTCATCACCGTAACCACGGAATTTCGGATGCGGCTGCAATAGTGAAGAACCAATAAGTTGTGAATAATAGAACTATTTTTTTTTTGTTTTATCTAAAAATATCACAGATTTTGAAGTCAGGTATAAATACAAATTCTTACGCATAAGTAAGTGCAAACCGTGTCCGGAGTTTTAACTTAATTCACATTAAAAACAAAGATATATTACAACTGTTCTATATAAGGAATACTTTTTTGTAGTCCTTTCTAATTTGAGATGTTGACAATAAAATGACGAAATTTACAAGGCGAATCTGATCTCCATTGTCTGCGCGCGACTCAATTGAAGGTGAGACCAATTATAACAATTACCGACGGAAGAACGGGCGAGGTAAGCGCCTGTATCGTTCATCACAAGTTCTGTTATCGAGTTGCGATAGAAGATCAGTCGTGGTCTTCTTTGATCGAGCTGCGTAAGAAGATCAGTCGTGTTCTTCTTTGATCGAGCTGCAAATTGCGAACTTAAGAAATCAGTCGTGTCCGTCGGTTATCGAGTTGCGTTATAAGATAAGCCGTGTCAGTGTGATGTGAGTTTGTCAATATTTACGCACTTTCATGTGTGATGTCCACTTGGCTACAAATGTAGCATACTAGTATGCCTGCATAGTATTGTTGCATCAACAATGAGAGATCTCAAAATGGGCACAACTAAATCAAGTTGAGCAAAATTTCAGTGTTAGTGCTCATGTGGAGGCAGAACAATCCACTCAAAAAAGTGATTCATTGGGGGTAGATTGTTAAGACAACTAAGAAACCTAACTGTGTCGTGTAGGTTTTTTGTAGCTCCATACACATGCACACAGACACACACACACACACACATCACCGGGCCTGTGTGCCTGTGTGGGTGCGGCGTTGGCCACATTTAGGCTGGCAAGGTTACTGGATCAGCCTATGGCTATGGGGGTCGTTGGTCAGCCTTGTGTGGGAGCAGCTTAAGGAAAAAGGTCTCTGAACTTGAACGCATTCTGTGACTATTTCAGCCCAGTGAGTTTGAGAGGAAATGTACCTAAAACTAATGTGAAATCAGCATGGGAACTAGAGCAAATAAATCGAAGGTCTGTGAAATTTATATTTCTTGAAATATCGGAATCGGAGCTATAATTCGTTGTCTGGGATTCACAAGATGAATCGAAAACCTCTGCATTGTGAAAATACATTTTTTTATTAAAAAAAGAGAAATCATCTGTATATTTTTTAATTCAACAAAATTTTTCAATCAAGCCAAAGGATGATAGGACCAGGAATTAAAAAGGCAAATAATCCTTCGTCACGGTACTGCAGTACGCGCGATCTCTGTAGTTCTAGCGCAGCATGCGAGTTGTAACACAGCTGTTGTTATTATACTAGTGCTCTGGCTAAGTTCTGTGCTGCTCTAGTTCAGTGACATTCTTTTGTATGATATAGACGCACGTGGGTCATACAGAGCAAACAGGGGCTACCTGCCTGCTGGATGGCCTTGTGTACACTTTCACTTAACCAAACAAATGAATATTCTATGCCGATCCTTCAGTATCAGCGTACCTAAGAGCGTTTATCTGAAATACGATTTACTGAAGATAATATGTATGCATCCCATGGACTGCGTGTTGACACTTTGGTCCAATTAATTTTAAAGAATACGACGATCTCTGTCATCAGTTCCACTAAGCAGCATTTGTTTACCCTAATTTTTGATCGAGACGTTCTCAGTGACTAATTTGCCTGTTACTACTGACGCATCAACCGCAGCCAATGTACGTAAACCGGCTAAGAACGTTCATGTTGACATAATTAAACACCCATAACAAAAAGCGAATAGAGCATATTGTCCAATTTGGGACATACTTTTTGCATCGAGCAGACACACACACACTTAGGGACACCCTTTTGCCAAGAAAAACAGGGCCTGAATGACTTAAACATGAGCAGAGAGTGCATCGCTACTTGGACAATATCGAACTCATCTTTGTGAGTGCATGTATAGACAAAATCGTGCCGGAAAATTTTGCATCAGTTCATATGAACACGTCCAAATGTAGTCATAAATGAGCTTGTTTAATAATAATCATAATGTACCATAATTTCCAAAAATAACTAAAATCAATGCAAGAATTATCGTCAAGCAAGACGATTTCATAACTATAATTTATTAACATCTACAAAATATTTCGTTTTATTAACATTTTGAACTTGAAGGAAACTTTGAGTGCAATCTACGGATGAGAAATACGTAATGAGGAAATATATTTTTTTCATCATGATTCGGCAGAGTTAAAAATCACAAATTGCGGAAATTATCAAATTTTTCTGCCATATTACCGGTTTTTGAACAATATCAATGTCATGATGATGTTTTGGACGAATATCATAAATTGACCTTAAATCACTTTAGTTTGTTCAGTGTAATCGTGGGATATAGAAAATTATATCATATTCTCAACGTAATCTGAATGTATAAAGAAAGCGAGAATTAATCTACATTCCCGTTAAATTTTTGTTCAAGACAGTTCTTCGAATAAGGAAGAAGTGAGAGGAAAAGACATAGCAAGACTGGGTTTGGTGAAGGAGCAACAGGTTTACAAGACACAGGTCATGACGGGTCGCTGTCTGACCGCTGGCTTACAAACCACTTTTACTCTCCGGTCAACTTTGAAGGTTTCGGGCGCTATGCAGTACATCGCTGCAGTCAAAAAATTCAGGACTTTTTTTTGCATGCGATTGTCGCTGTATTTTGATAAAAATGAGAGATTAAAAATTATTAAAAACACTGAACACGAGGGCTTTCTGCATTACCATAGGTTTCGGGCGCTATGCAGTACATCGCTGCAGTAAAAAATGTCATGACTTTTTTTGCATGCGATTGTCGTAGTATTTTGATAAGAATAGAAGGTATAAAATATTTAAAAATCTGAACACAGGAGCTTACTGTATTGCTGTAGTGAGTTTTACAGATTATAGCGTGCGCGTTTCGCAGTACTGCGTTGCATGCGAGTGTCGTAGGACTACACTAGTTGTAAATATTTTACATTACCGCGGTTGCGGCCACAGAGCAAATGGAATAACGAGTTACGCAAGTGCCTTAGCCCATAGGCCTCTTTTTTGTGGCAAGCTGTCGCCTTCACCGCTTAGATTTCGAGGGTACGACGGCCAAGGCCGAACTTTTGCTAGATGTTCTCATATGGGTCAACAAAGCACATTAGTACAACCACCCGCCCCAGGCTCCGTTGCTGTATTTTGTTGCGGTAACTTAACAGTTACTGGCGGCTGTTGCGTACAACAAATGACCGCAGTTTATAGGAAATACATATACAACTGTATCAAGGTAACACTAGCAGAGTAAGTGTAGCAGGGTAACTGTAGCAGAGTAAGTGTAGCAGGGTAACTGTAGCAGGGTAGCTGTAGCAAGGTAACTGTAGCAGGGTAACTGTAGCAGAGTAACTGCAGCGGGGAATGTAGCAGGGTAACTGTGGCAAGGTACCTGTAGCAGGGTAACTGTAGCAAGGTAACTGTAGTCAGGGTAACTGTAGCAGGGTAACTGTAGCAGGGTAACTGTAGCAGGGTAACTGTAGCAGGGTAACTGTAGCAGGGCAACTGTAGCAGGGTAACTGCAGAGGGAAATTCACTAGCACATATCCCAAGCAGAGATTTGTCAGCCAATTCAAGATGCCCGTTGTAATCATGTATCCAAATGTTCATAGATGAAATTATTGTTTAAATTGTTCGTGTAAAAGACTTGAGAATTTTTGAAGGTGAATATCAAGTTTTCCTTTATCAAGACTGCAAGAAACATCGAATGTGATGGGTTTTATTTGAGAAGAAATTTGCACGGTGGGAGATTCAAGCCGCCGTGACCTCGAAATGACTTTGAGAAAAACTTAGGATGAGTTGTCACTTTCCACCGGAAAAAAATCATCCCGACTGCCGGCCGCGGTCGGCTCGTGGGACTTAAGGTAAGAAAATTATATTACGTGCAACCCTGGGCTAACATTGAGGGGAAATTAAAAGTTTGAAAGTCAAGCTTTCTGCAGCCAAAGAAAGTTTACGCGATTCAAACACCTTGTGCCAGCGTCCAGTTCCTGCACGTTGCTAAATTGTTTCGTGCGTGACGCATTGCCGCGCGTGACGCTATACGAAAGACATTGCGTTATATACCGTGTGATATATGTAATTAGACGTGCAGTGTATACCGCGTGCAACGTGTTACCGTGCGTGATCTTACGTTTAAGTGGACGCTTTGTAATGAAGTGCTTGAGCGTTTCGCTACACGAGCTGTTCTGATGCACAATCCATTGTAATGAACTTCTATATTGTATTGTACTGCTAATGGAATAAATATACTATAGTTTGAATAAGTAAAGCTCTAACATTTCCCTCTTCCATATCAACGCAAGGATTATTTGAAAAATGCATGAGCAGCTACAATATTCTATGAGGGTAGAGTAATTCCATGTCAACTTCAATAAAGTCATACTTCATTCCTACCGGAAATAGTTTCAAATAGCGCGTCAAGACGGAATGCGTGGCAAGATTTGGGGTTGACGCAATAGACCTGCGTTGGTTGGAAGCAGAATGATAGACCAAAGACCGTCCCCACGTCCAACTAAAATTTGTAAGCGTAATTTGACCGTAGAGCCTTGGAACCACGCCACGAAACGCACGAGTTTCAGAACAAAGTCTTCTGATTCTTGCACTGCTTTCACCATCTGACTCACTGCCCTTTGCTGTCTCTGATCCGAAACCAGCCTTTCACTAACATCGAACACGTCTGCCTTTCACCTTCACGAAATTCAATTTCATCTGTAACGTGAGTAATAAATGTTGCTAATATATTTCGCAGAATTTTCCCGACTAATTACCATGTCAAGCACCGCTTATTATAAGCGCAAGCTTTCTCCACAAGTTGCGAGCGTTCCAAAATTTCACACAACGCTACTCACATTAAAAATGTTAAACTGATATGACTATAATTAACACTCTGAAGGCCGCGGAGCGACTCACTGTCAATCACAAATATGTTTTATTTCACAATCAATCGGGATCACTTTGTGGATGGTGAACATGCAGCCCCATATGTTAAGACGTACCAGTGAGAGCGGCCACGGTCGCTAGGACCAATAAAGGAGCCGTGAAGACAATAGACGAAGACATCCTTCCTCGCGCGCTGCTGCTACTCTTGTGGCGCGCGGCGGCTCTGACGTGCCTTTTTATACTCCAGGTTTCCATCAGACATCCATGTCGGATTTTATCATAAATTTTTATTACGGACAATCGTGACATTTTTAACTATATTTGTTCTTGTTTATGAGTTCTTGTTAAGTTCGACACTTTATTAGTTTAGTTAACTTTCCTGAAGGATAGCTTTGCTAAATCATCGATTAGATTCATAATTGATTTCCATGAGCAATAACAGTGAAGCTTTACAGTAGAGTTTTGCTTGCATAAAAAAATACTAGCACTCGTCATGCGATGAATCTTCCATACAGTATTCTTCTATTATTATAATAATAATTATCAAATACATTGATATTTTTGCTGCAAGGAGCGTCAGGATACGCGCGTCGCGCGTGAGGCCTTGACGCGACAGGCCGCCGTGCGTCCAGTTTTTCTGCGCGTGGCTTCACTTCCTGCGCCTACGAGAGCATAAGTGTCTGCTGGTGTTGAATTTGTGGAGATGAATCAGAGATGATGAAATAGATAGAGATATTATATACATTTTTGCATATATAAACGTCAGCTCGTGTTGAACTTGTGGAGATGCATCAGAGATGATGAAATAGATAGAGATATTATAAACATTTTTGCATATATAAACGTCAGCTTGTGTTGAATTTGTGGAGATGCATCAGAGATGATGAAATAGATAGAGATATTATATACATTTTTGCATATATAAACGTCAGCTTGCGCTGAATTTGCTAAGAAGAAAGTCACAGCTATAATAATAGGATATTAATGTATATAATATTTTTATAATACCATTATATTAAATACTTACAATAATGAATAACACCATTAGTTTTTTATCTTTACTAATACTTTTAGTATTGGTACAAGATAAATTTCATCTTGTATCAGCCTTGCTTGCATGCAGAGTCATTAAACGCCTCACACGAGCAGCGATCTCAATGCAAATTATAGGCATCGCGTATCAAGAGGGTGAAATTTCAGTCATTTTCAGCGACATTAAAAAAAATGTCTAGGAGGTAACTTTTTACAGTTTTTGCAACTTGTTCGTATGTTTAATCAATAAGGCACCTTTCTTCTTCACTTTTTTGCGTGTCCGAAACTCTCTCTGCTGGGAGCTGCAATATAAACTACGAGAATGTAAATATACGCTATATATCTAATGTAAGTATATGCTGTATATCTAATGTAAGTATATGCTGTATATCTAATGTAAGTATACGCTGTTTTCCGAATAAGTCGAATAAGGCATTTCGAATGAGGTGAACTTGCTGGCAGTGAGAGTTGGTAAATTAACAACACAGCTGAAATGTCATGACGAATGATTCATGGCATGATGTCGATATACTGTATGCCTGAGGGTAAGCGCTTCAACTTTTGGTAAAATTTTTCTAGTTATTGACCCCAATTGTGAATTAACTTATTGTTAATTGCTGTTTTTAAAACTCAACCATTTCTTAAATTGCCGCTCTTACGAGCTTTGATGATGACCTTTGTTAGCAATTTTCCCATTACCATATAAACCCGCGTTTTGCTGGTAGGACTATTAACAAAATGGGCTTTGAGATCAGCAACACTAGTGGGATCAGCAACACTAGTGGGAGCAGCAACACTAGTAGGAGCAGCAACACTAGTTGCTGGGTTGCTACTAGGGTTGCTGCTCCAGGACTAGGGTTGCTGCTCCAGCAACACTAGTAGGAACAGCAACACTAGTGGGAGCAGCAACACTAGTGGGATCAGCAACACTAGTGGGAGCAGCAACACTAGTAGGAGCAGCAACACTAGTGGGAGCAGCAACACTAGTAGGAACAGCAACACTAGTGGGAGCAGCAACACTAGTGGGATCAGCAACACTAGTGGGATCAGCAACACTAGTGGGAGCAGCAACACTAGTGGGAGCAGCAACACTAGTGGGAGCAGCAATACTAATGAGATCAGCAATACTAGTGGGAGCAGCAACACTAGTGGGAGCAGCAACACTAGTGGGAGCAGCAACACTAGTGGGAGCAGCAACACTAGTGGGAGCAGCAACACTAGTGGGAGCAGCAACACTAGTGAGATCAGCAAGCCAGTGGGAGCAGCAACACTAGTGGGATCAGCACCACTAGTCGGATCAGCAACACTAGTGGGAGCAGCAACACTAGTGGGATCAGCCATACTAGTGATCTCATATTATCATTCATGTTTTTCCACCTTGTGGTCATAACTATTCTGTAGCATTTGCTTCAGAATTTAGGGCGCAGCTCAACCTGTTGATCTTTTCGTTTGTTGTTATCTAAATTCATGTAAATTTATTGACTGTCCTTGAATTTCCCCGCATTTAAAGTTGGCAATTATATTCCGAACTGTTAATACAAATTATTATCAAATGAGATGTTGTGAAATCAAGGGTTAACCATCGTCTAATTTACAAAAATATTATAGAATGAAAAGTTTGATCGATAAGAACTTAGAATGAAGTGGTTCCTATTAATTCATATAATGTTTTATGTTGCTGATGAATGACGTAAAATGAGTATATTAATAACCCTCTGAACTGTACAGGAAATAGTGCGTAGGTCATGAGGTGCCTGAGACGATCGCGTCATCAGCTCGAGACTGACAAGGTCGACATCGCTTAGGAGGAGCGGGCTGATAAATACAATTGATGTATATATAATTTGTCATATATCATATATATGATCACTGTATATAGATAGCCTCTTTTAATGAAGGCAGCGTTTGATAGAGCTGATGTTAATTATAAAGAGCGAGGGTTGAAAATTATCACTGTACGATGACAATATCTTTACATTAATAAAGCAACACCTGGTAGAACTGATGTTGTTCATCATCAAAAGGGCTGAAAATCGTGGCTCTACTATAATAATGTCATGGAATTAAGGCAGAAATCATCTATGATTTTTCATCTATGATTGCGCTTTGAGATAAAATTTCATTCATGTCTTTACCAACGCTGTTAATAATCAGCCTAGAAATTCTCTATGCTGAGTGTAATAATTTAAACTAATAATTCGAGAACAAATGCTTATCATATTGATTGGTTACGAGTAACGCAGCTACTCGGGCTGTATTCTAAAGACTCACGTAGGCGTACGTAGCGGCCAAATTTTATATAGCCTCATCAGTACAAAAAACCGCCCAAGTCCACATGCCGGCCTAAGTATCCGTAGCGGCCTAAATACACTTAGCTGCCGAGGTGCACATAGCGGTTTAAGTACAAGTAGCGGCTTAGGTACAATAAACGTCATTAGTACTCAGAGCGGCCTAAGCAATCGAGGAAGCCTAAATACACGATTAAAAGCATTTATATAGTGATTTGGCTGAGGGATTTGGAAACTCTCAACTATTTTTGGCGGTACGACTCCTGATCTTGCTACGCTTATGAGAACTGATCCTTGAAGCGTCCTCAAGTGCCCGTGACATCATTGAAGCATGTGTGTTATAGCGGACGTTGAAAACGTTCAAACTTATGTTTCCAACATCCGTATACTAAACCATCACGCACGTATCATTTATCACCCGTGCTAAACCATCAAACATGTATCAATTATCACCCGTACAAAACCATCACGCACGTCTCAATTATCACCCGTACTAAACCATCACGCACGTATCATTTATCACCCGTACTAAACTATCACGCACGTATCAATTATCACCCGTACTAAACCATCGCGCACTTTTTCTCAACACTTGCAATAAGTCATCACGCGTCTCCAACAGACCCCATAACAACACTACGTCTTCTTATTATAACGGTGCAGCAAATTACCTGTCGCAGCTGGAAGGCCGCGCCGCATATCCCGGCAATTGCGTCAAGGTAAACCGGAACGAAGAAGCGTACAAGCAATGCACGCAATGTAACAACATCTGTGTTATCAATTCCTATTTATACAGCGTTGAATGTTAGTTACAATATGTACACAAATAAACACAATTTTTATTATTGTGTATATTTTTTATGCACAATAATTGTGTTGATTTTAAAACTCAACAGAGTATTGGTAATTAATATTATTACTATTAAATATAACTCTATATAATAGAGATTACGCATTAAGCAACAATCTTTCAGTGAATCGGGTTTTTTAAATAAAATATCACTAAAGATTGGTAAAGATTTTAATAGATATTCATGTTAATAAGGTCACTAAGGAAGTTGGTCCTTTTACTAAGGCTAAAAAATTTTCCCCTCAATAAGGAATTTCATCCTGGGCTGATATTACGAGTTTCGTGGGATACAAACAGGTTATTCTGCTGTCGACTTTGATCCATACTTACTTGGCTCGTGACGCTGAACGGTTTCCTGACTCGTTTGTGAAAGAAAAAGCGACCTTCCCTCTTCCTTTAAAGGACGTTATTCTTTATTATTCATGGGAAGAGATTGCTAAATCTATAGCCCGAAGATTCAAACTCGTTCCAGGCCCTGATCTTACCTGCGAATCTTGGTATATTCGAATGATTTACGTCCACGCATGTTTTAGGTAACTCATAATGTACGATAACTTCATGCAGAATTTGTTAATATTGTGAAACACTTGAACTTGATTGCTACAATTTCTGTTCCAGTAATTTTTATGATTTCAATCCTACGCTTTTAAATTGAATTTGTTGTCATAAGATATTCTTATCGATATTTGATATTTCATGCCGTTATTCAAGTTTAACTTTCCCTCGCATTTGTACCCAGGAAATGTCTCGAGTGTTCAAGGCTTCTGTCAAGTTTCCGTAGCCTTCCGTTTACTAATTTTCAGAGTCGCACGAATCCGTGACATTCACCCCGTGACATTCACGATAGGGCATTCATTATAGGGTATTCAATCCATGGCTTTCACGCCGTGTTATTCGTTCCACGCCGTTCACTCAGTGGCATTCGTCGAGTGAAAACTTCATGAAATTCACTCCATGGTATTCACTCCGTCACATTCAATTCATGTCCTTCACTCCGTCACATTCAATTCATGTCCTTCACTCCGTCACATTCA